GTTTTTATCCAGCATCAATTTTTTTTTTTATTAGCTTTATCCAGGGATCAATTTGAACATCTTTAGCACAATTAGGTTTAAATATGCTCATCATCATGCGAAGGAACCATCTAGTAGTCTTGCCACTTTTAGGCTTTACCCACATTGTTCCCTCTCACATAGGTGGACCCCACATGAGAAAGGAGGCTGTGGAATCTGGATGCAGCCATAACGGTTGTGGATTTAGCAATCTCCTAAACACTACTAAAGAAGTGCATCATTCTCATGGCACCTTTACTGGCCAGACAAAGATTAATATATAATAGCATCAAGGTTACCTGAGCATCATTACTGAAGAATAACAAACTGAATTCCGGGTTGACTCTTAGAGTAGAAACTACCTGCATTTTAAACAGCACTATGAGCAGAAAAATAAAACCAAAGAAGTCAAATAAAATAAACAATACAAAGAAACAACCAGATAAACCATGAACCTCGAGCAACTAAGGTAAAAAAAAAAAAAAAAATTCTTTAGTTTTTATTGCAAAACAATATTCTACTTTCAACAGAAAATGAAAAACAAGAAAAGGAGGAACAACTGCAAATGAGTTTAGGAGTTTGTTTCTGGAAATGCAAGTGCAAAGATTATGAATGGTCCAAGTAACTATTAGTATTCAATTTTTATTTATTTTTTTTATGCGTGATCTATTTGATAAATTTTACAAAATATACAATTTAAATTAACGAGATAAGTCCAAAATGAGCTCACAATCACAACCCCATATCACTGAGATGGGTCTGGAATGGGGCAGTTCCCTCAACTTGATCCCTCACCTCACCCTCTTCCTTTACAAAAATGTCGCTTTTGGTAATAAATAAATAACTTACAAAAGGGCATATAATATCAAGGTCATTAATGTTGTGTTTGATCATAAATTTAGATAAAAATGTGAATAAGAGAAAATGGTAAAATATTTAATTTATATTTGTTTACTATTTCCTTTATCTAAATTTATGATTCAAACATATTCTAAAGAAATATTACTTATTTAATAATCTCATAGCACAATGCGAGAGTGACATTGTTTACGTAATGCTCTAGACTAATTGCGTAACAAAAAAATTTATGAGTCTAACATGCATACTAGCTCACCTATGTTAAATAACTAAAAAATAAAAAATAACCCATTTGAATTATATTATAATTTTTTATATTTTGAAAATAATATGTAAATAATATCATGTAATACTTTAATAAAATTTAATTAATTTTTCAAAAAATAGGGAGCATAGAGATGCAAAGACTGTACCACATATGCAAGTAGGGTGTTAAGGTAAAGGGTTAGAAAACACAGTATATACCAACCCATTCTCTTCAAAGGACTTTTCTAATGGGGGGTGCAGAGACAGAGGAAGGAATATCTTTAGACAAACATGGTTAAAAAACAAAAGATAAAGAGAGTTGTTGAAAGTCTACATCAAAAAGCAGAGAAACAAAGAAAGTTCAACATATAGGTGGATGATGATGCGAAGACAATTGACGAAGACCCCCGAAAAAAACGAACTCAAAAAAAAAAAAAACAAAGAGATTTATTAAAATGACTTTTTGACAAAACAAAAAAAAACTCCAAGGATGAGATCATGACAACATGAAGTTAAGAAAAAACGTTAACAGCCACCGTTACGGATATTGAATTTATCTTGAATATATTTGTGTAATAGAAATTAAATTAATAAAGTGTGAAATTCATATGTAGGATGAATCTAAGTTATTGATTTTTTTTTTTTTTTTGAGTAAATTTTAAATTAAAAAAGATGAATTGATAGTATTGTTATGAAGTTAAAGCTCAAACTTGTAATTTAAGAAATCAAACTTGGGTTTACCAATCAACAAATTCACAAAGTAACCCCCAAAAAGCAATTTCAAGTGTTAGAAATGAAACTAACAAATCAGAGAATGATGAGATGCAGCGTAATGAGTATGCAACATTTATTTTATTATTATTATTATTATTTTCTATGATTAGGTGTCGAGTTAGTTTATGCATACCTCAACAAATTCAGGATTCACACAAAATGTTTTTTCTATATAGATCTAGTAAGTCTCGGACAAACTCCGCAAGCATGAAAAATTAATAATACCTAGTAACAGTTGAACTTGAAAGGAGTAATATCTCTAAATCTCAAGTTATATCCACTATGCCAACCCTTGAGATTGCAACATTTAAGTTAGGGGCAAGCACCATTAAATCCCTAATTTGGGAATGTTAACCTATTTAGTCCTTACGTTTTTTTGTTGGACTAATAGATCCTATTTTATGTGTAAAGACATTAGTACCCATTTTTTTACGCGTCTGGGTCAGTAATTAAGGGAGTAATTTTGAGATGGTGTTTATGTGTAATTTACCGAATTGCCCAAGAAGCTTACTATAGGCCTTTTTTAGATTTCCTTCATTTCTGAACATCAGCAACATCAACTACATTATCACCATCAACAAACATCAACTATATCACCAACATCACTAAAAAAACATCATCAAAAATCAACAACATCATAAAAACATCATCAACTACATCATCAAACATCGTAAAACATCATCAAAACATATCATCAACATCGTGAACATTATAACAACATTACCAAAACATATCATTAACATCGTGAACATCATCAACATCAACTACATCTTCAACATCATCAAACATCAGCAACATCAACTAGAAGAACCCGATTGTTGAAGCGTAAGGGAATGGGTAGAGATCTTTTCCCAACAAACGTTGCAAACGATTGTGAACCACGAACGCAGAGAGGTCAGCGGTGGCGAAGCGACGGATCTGACGATCTCACGACGGTGGTACTGGATCGGTGTGGATCGGCCTTTTCCCAACAAACGTTGCAGACGATTGCGAACCACGAAGGCAGAGAGGTCAGCGGTGGCGCAGCGACGGATCTCACGGCGGTGGTACTAGATCGGTGTGGATCGGCGGAGGATCTAGACAGAAAGAAAGTAGAGAGAGATCGGTTTGGAGGCTCTCAGACAACGGCGAGGCCTTCGGCTCCGCTTATGGGACTTAAGGAAGGACGGTGGGCCCGCGGTGGAGCCGGTAGAGGAGCTAGAGAGAGATGTGGGAGGGTTTTAAAGAGAGAGATGGGAAGAGATAGTAGGGATGATCTGATGATGTTCATAATGTTGATGATGTGTGATGATGTAGTTGATGTTGATGATGTTGTTGCAAAATGAAATCAATATGGGTAAAAATGTAAACTCTATATACAATATATCAAAAACATATGTCATACCAAAAATAAAAAGGACTAAATGGTTTAAGAAAAAAAACTTAAGACTAATTAGAGCAACATTTATTAAAATGAGATTTATGAGTAATTTTTCCTTTAAGATATGGTTAGATTAAATAATTTGTATTTGAGGACAAAATTGTAAAAGAAAAGGAAATGAGAAGAGAAAAGTAAATGCAATGGAAATTAATTTTTTCCCATAACACTTTTTATTTTCCTTGTACAAACCCTTCCCATAAATCCTTACTCCAACCAGAGTTTTATGTATTATGATTTTTCGGTGAGGGAAGAAAAATATTGTGCTTTCTTAATTTTTGTTTGGATGAACACAATTTTTTTAGTTCTTTTTTTTTTTTTTTTTTTTTTTTTTCTTGATTTTGCATTTACATGAATAAATGAGCTATTATAAAAAATTTATATACAAATTTTTTTTTGGGATTGGCTGCATTTGGATCTTCAATTTGTGGAGCGTTTATGCTATGAACACATAAACTGATGACGAAATTGGCATATAATAATAATATATATAAATAAACAAGATTTTATAATATGTGTTCTGTTTTGTATTGGTAGAATTATTCTTTATGAAGTGATTTGTAACCGAAAAGAAAATGTGAACATGTAAATTATTTTTTTGGATAAATTATAAATCTATCTTCTGAGATTTACTTAAAATACAGAATACTCTCTCTTGTCAAAATATTTTATTTAACAAAATTAATTAAAAAATAAAATTCATAATTACTCTCTTATACAATAATAAAATTACTTAAATTATTAATTGAAACATATTTATAACATTATTAAAAACTGTTAATTGACTGGATAATTTATTAATAAAATGAGCGATTTGTTATGAAATTAGAAACCTCAATGAGTGAAATATAATTTTCAAAACCACAGAGACGATTCATATTTTAATCAAATATCAGGAGGTGTATTTATAATTTATTTATTTATTTATTTATTTTTACTTCTATCTTGTATTTTCCTTTTCCCTCTTTAAATTCATTGTCAAAACCAAGATTTATTATCCAAATAAGTGACGCAAGCCCTGTTTCTGTGTGTTTCTTTTATTTTCTTTTCTCACAACTACTTCAATTCAAGCTATACACAAAATCAAGTAGAACTAATATAGATATCAAAATAGAATACTTGGCAACAAAGGAGAGTCATGCTTGATTCCAATGAGAAAAACATCTAAACACAATTACAATGATGGCTATATTGAACTGTTATTTCTAGTTATGGCATTTTTTAAGCAAATCCAAAAGGCAAATCACTGAAACTGATAAAATTCTCAACATCTAATCAATTTATATCAGTTCAAGACCTCAGTTTCGATCAATTACCCGGACCTTATTCTCTTCTGGCCACCCTTTCCATCTGATTTGGTAGTTCCACCGGATTCCCCTTCGGATGAAGCTTCCCTTGATTTTGCAAAAGAGCTTGATAGATCTGCATAAAGATCCACAACCCTTCTCGCATTGTTGTTAAGCTCTCGAATTAGACCCACATTTCGAGTCAAATTATCGGGGATTTTTGATTCATGGTTCTGGTTAATCTCATTGATTAACAACTTGTTTTGGTCCAAAATGTTTTGGACTTGCACAAAGCTCTTCTGAAATGTCTGCAATACCTTGTCATCTATTTGGTTACCATTGTCAATGCCAGAAAATATGTCACCTTCCATCAATTACACTTTTGTTCAATTAAAAACCACTCCAATCCTGCATCAAAAACATGAAATTTATCACGAGTTATAAACAACAAAACACAAGAATTAAAGACTTAGGTTGTGAAATTCATCATGAGTTTTGGATTAGGGATTTGAAATGAAAAGATTTGGCACTATTCATTGAATGGGAAGACCTAAATTTTTTATATTTGAAAGCTTAGACATGAATTTCAAGAATGAATTCAAGAGTTTTGTCTCAATGGACTTGAAATAACAATTTATTTCAAATATTTCATCTTTATAGGTTATGAACAATAAATCACAAAAATTAGAGACTAAAAATCATACTCGTATTATGAATTTGAAATGAAAAGAATTGACACTATTCATTGAAGGAGAACTTCTTTCAAGAACGATTACGAGAGTTTTGTTCGCCATGGCCTTGAAATAACAATGCAAAAGTAATTAATTGAAACCGTTCTTGCCTATTCTATTTCTACAATGATGAACCTAATAAAAAACTTGACTTCTATATCTAATTTATCATCCATATGTTTTTTTTATAAAACTGAATCATGAATCCTTTCATTTGCAATAATTTCACACAAACAAAGCCTTCAAATATTAAGACAACAACATAAGAAGGAAATATAAATCAAAACTTCACTAAATTTTGATTTCTTAAAAACACCCATTATCCTATCTTTGCATACTTCTAAAGGGAAAATCAAATTCAACATCAGAAACAATGTAAGAAGAAGAAATCATAGCTTTCATTTGTTTTTGCAGATAGTTTTAGAAAATATCAAAACAGAGGGGGGCTTCTTCCAAAAAAAAAAAAGAAGAGAATTTTAAAATCCAAAGTTGTTTCAAACCACAATTTCAAAACAGGACTTCACCCTAAAGTCAAAATGTTTTGAAAACACTTTCAAAAAACAAGTTTAAAAGTTGTATTTGAAATTTTGCTTTAAAAATTAATTGCATTGGGTTTAAAAAAAAAAAAAAAAACTGGTATTCTTCACTTTTTTACCATAAAAGAACCAAATTTTCTTTTGTGTTCTCCCAAAACTGACCCAAAGCTCTGATCATGAATGTTGAATCTCAACAACTCATTGAAACCCACAGAGCAGACAAAGATTCAATGGCCACAGAACTCACAAGAAAAGGTTTCCCACAAAACAACAAATGAAAAGATCAAAAGGGTCTAAAACAATAAAAACATACATATATATATATAGTGAAATAAAACTGAACTTGCAGAAAGGAACTGAGAACAGATTACGAGATTGTACTTTAAATATCAAGCGGTTGGTGAGAGAGAGAAACAGAGATAGAAAGAGATCTAATCTATAAAATCCTCAAAGCGGAAAAACAAAAGCATGTGTTCTTTGAAAAGTATGTGACAAAGCAAACAAGTGTTGGAATTTACAGAACAGAGAAAAAAATAAATATGGACAAAAAATAAAAACAACCCATTAAAATAAACGCAAAAATAATAATACTAATAATACCCATCAACACAAAGTGAGAAAACAAACGAATCTCACATTTTCTCGGCATTTTCTTTCGGTTTTCCAGGGAAGAAAAAAAAAAAAGGAAGTCTTTGATAAGCTACGGAAAGGTCGGCCGTGGAATCAAATCTCCTCCAGTCTGTGGAGGCTGGGATTGAGCAGAGACCCTGAAATCATGAACAGAGAGAGGGAGAGAGAGAGAGAGAGAGGGAGAGAGATTTGACAGTACGCACAGAGGATGTGCTGTGTTGTGGTTGTTTGTTTCTCTCTCCTCGTTTACTTCACCTGATCTACGCGATTCTCCTTATATTGGTTTTTCTTGTGTAGGACACAGCTCTACAACTACTTCAGTTCTCATTCATATGATTTTACAGTGTGGAGTATTTGATTGCTCAATCAGAGCCGTCCATCTACATGATAGACCATACAAGCCGTTCGATTTGGGTTGAAACTTAAGACGGGGTTTCTTAGCTTACCCTAGAGTCTAATGAGTCGGTACAAAATAGTTTTTTCATCTCTTACAAAAAAAAATAAATAAATAAATAAATAAATGTAATATAATAATGAGATGATTTAAATTTAAATCAAATGTAATATGATTTAAATAGAATAAAAAGATAATAAGATATATTTTTTTTATGTTGTTGCCAAACAACTTTTTATTTTTAATTAGGTATTGTCAAAAACAAAATTTAAAATGATTTGTACATTTTAGATTTGGGGATGGATTATCTCTGTTTCATAGGGTGAGACTCATCACATATTTTGTTTTGATAATTCTGGTTTATTTTGCCTCCGTTTGGGAAGTGGGTTGGCTTTTTGACTTTTTGACTTTTTAGCTTTTTTGGCTATTTTAGCCTGGGCTTAAAAGCTTGGTTTGGGAAGGGCTTTTTGGCTTTTTTGAGTTTTTTTGTGAGAGAAGAATGTAATGATTATGGGTTGGATGTGATGTTTTGTTTGTTATGGCTAAAATAGCCTATTTTGTTTTTTGTGGCTAAAATAGCCAAAAAAACCTCCAACCCACCTTCCCAAACGGTGCCTAAGTCAAGTATTTTATTAGTCTTGTTTTTTAAAAATAGATCATTTATTTTTTTTATAACAAAAATAATAAATTAAATATACTACAATTATCAGATCGTTTAATTTTTTATATTGATGGTCTACACGAAATCCTCAACAAAAATAAATAATTTGAATCAACAAAATAGGTCTGATGATGAACTCTGCTGATTCGAATAACGCCCTCTAAGGAGATTAGGGATAAGAGGGAATTCACCTCCTTTAGATATTTATACACATGAGTGGATTTTTACAAAACGTCTCCAGATTATGAAATGTTTATAAATTGGGTGAATTATATAAACAGTCTCTAAAGTTTGAAATTTGTATCACTTTGATCTTTAACTTTTTAATTGTGACACATTTGATTTTGAATTTTGAATCTTGTTCCAAATAAGACAATTGAAGATATCATTAGATTTTTTAAGAGTAAAATCGTCAATTTGATAAAATATAAATTAATTTGACAAAAATAAATGTCAAACAAATATTGTTGAAATTTTAAAAATTATTTATACCTACTAAAAATAAAATTATGTAAAATTAATAAATCTTTGAGACATTTTTTTTTTACCAAATTAATTTTTATCATGGGTTTGGATGATGATCATGTAAAATTAATTTTTAAAAATTAATCATGTATTTTTATTAATTTTTATCAATTTTACATAATTTTATCATTGGTGGATAAAAAAAATTAAAAATATTAAAAATATTTTTTTGACATTTATTTTTGTCAAATTAGTTTATATTTTATTAAATTGACGATTTTACCCTTGAAATTAAACAAAGGTATCCTCAATTGTCTTTATTTGGAATAAAATTCAAAATTCAGGGCCAAATGTGTCACAATTGAAAAGTCATGGATTAAAGTGACACAAGTCCCAAACTATAGGGACTGTTGATGTAATTTGCTCTTATAAATTTATGGATCTTGTTAACATGTGTCATATAATAAGAAAATTTCAAAATATTGTACATCTTTTATTACATTCACTTTAAAGTATAAACAGACAAAACATCTTAATGTGTGTCTTAAGGGGCACAAGAAAACAAAACCCTAAATTTATTCACTGGGCTTGGTTTTAATTTTCTGAATTTAATTTTTTGAAAATTAATTTTTTTTACATTTTTTTGTTTTGTTTTTAATGAATATTTTTAAAATTTTAACCATTTTTAAAAAAAAAAAAATTAGATGCACCTTACTTAGATGTATCTAAAAAATAAAATATTTGTGACAAAATATTTTAAAAATTAATAATTACACAAAAATACGGAAAATGTATTAAATTTTCATATTTCTTTTGTATTTTTGATATTTAGTACATTTTTTAAATATTTTTTTCACAAATATTATACTTTTTAGGTGTATTTATGTTAGGTGTGTCTAAAAATTGAAAAAATTACTTAAAATATTAAAAACATTTAATGAAAACAAAAAAAATATAAAAATCAAAAAAATAAAATTTTCTAAAAAGTGAATTATGGAAATCAAAACCAAAGAGAGTGATTAATGTTCATAAAATTTAATATTGATTTGAATTTTTTTTTTTATTTTTTTTATTTAAGAAAGGTACACCAAATTGTAATTCTCCTCCCTTATTACTACGGGTCATAAGAACATAAATAATACTATATATACTAATTAGTATATCAATTGATGATGTGACATAATTTAATTTTTTTTTTGATATTTGTAATGTGATTAATGAGTGGGGTTAATAATAATGTCATAACAAATGTTAGTACACTAGTTAGTATACTAATTGGTGCATGTAGCATCACCGTAAGAAAATTATGGATTCTACTTTTATAAACTATTTATTTATTTATTTATTGGGAGTTTTTTTTTTTGATAAATCATCTTTTTAAGAGTTTTATTCTATCCAATCTATTTTTATTTATTTTTTTACTATTCCATTAGGTTCTATTTGAGGTAAGAAGACCAAAACACCCTTAATTTTTCATGCCCCTATTAATGTTGATATTTAATATTAATTGTCATTATATTTTGGTAGTTCCCATACATTAAGATGTTGTCATTATATTCATATTAATTTGAAATGAACTTTTGTCATTGTATTGTCAATTACACGATGTGAATATTCACATCATGTAATTGAAATGAATATTCACATCATTATATTCACATTAATTTAAAATGAATTTTTGTCATTATATTGTCAATTACATAATATGAATATTCATATTAAAACATACGAATGCGAATGTTCACATCACTACAATAGATATGAGAGAATGTTCACATGTAATGAACGTTCACATCACTACATGTTGTGAATAAGAATGTGTTGTCAATTAAAAATATAATGAACGTTATTTTTAATATTTTTAATGTGTTGTCAATTAAAAATAAGAAGGTACACATGTTGTGAACGTTTACATCACTACATTAGATGAGAGAGAATTTTTCAGAAAGGTGTTGTGAACATTCACATCAGATGAAAGAGAATGTTCACATTATTTTTAATGTGTTGTCAATTAAAAATATATTCATATCAGATGAGAGAAAATATTCACATTATTTTTAATTTATTGTCAATTAGAAATATATTCACATTATATAATAATATAAAATAATAACATCAATGTTATTTAATTTGTATATGAAATTTTCTATACCTTAATCCTTTTCCTTCTCTCTCCTCCTCCAACATTAAATATCAATATTAAATGTAAGGGCATAAAAGTCTAAGAAAATAGTGTAAATCAAGAAAATGGACTTTATGAAATAAAAGTATAAACACATAGGACAAAGTGAGTTAAAAAATTCATTCATGAATTTCTTAGGTTAAAACACTTCTAAATGATATTCATCAATAAAAATCCCTTTATTTATTGATATTGATCATCTATAAATAAATAAAAAATATTATTATTTTATTATATTTTCTTTTAAAATTTGGTAAATAAATTATATATTTTTTAATTCACGCTTACTATCAATGAATTTTACACTTTCTTTTGAAAACTTTTTTTTTCCCTGCTGTTATTGTCATGTATAAAATATATTCTCTTTTTAAATCATACTGGCCTATCACCTGTGCTATGCACAGAATAATTATAGATATTTATATTTATTTTAGATTTTTTTTAATAAATAAATTATGTTTTTTAAGATTTTTTATAAAAATAATTTAACAATCTTATCACTAACTATATGGGAAAAGTTGAAAAAGGTACTGCAGTAACTATACACGGATTGTATCTATAATTATTTGTATGAGGGGATTTTAAATGCTAATTAGTGGATTTTGACCAAATCAATAAATGTAGGCATGTGGATTTGAATGGCAACGGGGCAGGGCGGGGCGGGGCCGATGATCACCCTCCCCGTCCCGATCCCCGATGGCAGAATTTTCCCCCGTCCCCGGCCCCGTCCCCGTCCCCGTATCTCCCTCGAAGTGATATTACTGTCATACCCCTTTATATATACATGTTACATGTATAAACCAAACCTAAAAAACAAACCCAGCAGCCTCACACTCACACAGCCTCACACGGCCTCTCATCTCTCTCTCTCTCTCTCTCTCTCTCTCTCTCTCTC